CTGTATAAGATCACTATGAGTCGGAACTGACTCCATGGTACTTAACCACAAATAATAAAAAATTTCAGATATACTTTCTGTCAATAGGTTTTTTAAAAAAATATTTTTTCATAAGTTTCCCCTTATCCCATATTCATTAACAGTTGATGTATATTTATTACCATAACTATTTCATACTGTCCTTATATGTGTGTATATCCTGGTAAAGCATTGTAGGATAAGCATTAAATTTCAAACCAAAGTGTTGGTAGTTCAAACCCACCCATTTTTTCCTTAGAAACCCTCTACTGAGTTGTTATTAGTTGGAAACCACTGGGTGATATTTAATAACAAAATGCATGTAAAGTATATTATATTTTTCTGGCTTTTAAGAAATCCTGTAAGTGAGAACATATTCTAAATAGTATTTTGCAGCTTATTTTCTTTTTGATATTGTTCAAAAGTTTATCAAGATTTTCCATATTGACAAGTATATATAGATGTAGAGCATTCAGTTTAACTGATACAAAGTGTTCCATTCAGCACCATCAAAGGCAAATCAACACCTTTGTATGATTCCATGGCTAGCAGGTCTGAACATGTTTTGAACTGGTAATTGGTCATTACTTTACTTGTTCTACAAACTGTTTGCACACACATTTTCTGGTAGTTTTGAACTGCTGACCACGAGATTAGCAGCCTGATTCATAACCACTATACTTTTGTGCATGGTCTTCTTATTAATGATAGAATTAATCATAATGATAGAGTAAGCCATATTATGGATTCCTGGCTTGTGTTATAGGATAAAGCACTGGCCTTTGAACTGCAAAGTTGGCAGTTCAAACCCACCAACTGCTTAGCTGAAAGTCTATACAAGCTTGCTACAAGTCAAATATGATTTGATGGTACTTAACAACAACCAAATATTGCTTATAGCCTTGCACAAGATTATCTTAAAAATTTGTCAGAAAATCAGAAGCTCTACCTTTCTTATAATTAATGCTTGCATTTCTTATTTGTCTAGTTACAAAAGATAGCAATTATGTCCTATGTGGAGCTAGAATGGGTTCATTATGCAAGGCTGATTAAAAAAAAAATCAATAATCTGGTTTTAAAATGATTTGTTTGAAACTGATGCTAATTTGGAACTAAGGAGCTCTGGTGGTGTAGTGGTTATGAATCAGGCTGTGAACCTCAAGGTCAGCAGTTCAAAACTACCAGCTGTTCCATGGGAGAAAGATGAGGCTTTCTGTTCCCATAAAGATTTATAGCCTCAGAAACCCTTACAGGGTTGCTATGGGTGGGAACCAACTCCTTGGTACATAACAACAACAACAACATAAGTAAATTGTTTGAATATTTTGGAGTCATGTAGAAAGAGTCTAACATACAGATGATCTTTAGGAAGTAAAACACATGTTTTAAACATATGTTTAAATGTTTTGAAAATAAACATCCAATAGCCATCAATATATATATATGGAAAATATTTATTTTCATGTAATTATGTTTGTTAATTTTGTTATTTATTTTTTAAAAAAAACAAGAAAATGAAGTGGCTAGAAACACTGGCCTTGGAGATTAATTGTTGTGATTTTAATGTCTGTTCAAGCTCAGCTTTTAGAGTAACGTTGGGCAAGCTAATTCATCTTGTTTTGTCTCGGTTTCTTTCTCTGCAAAATGGAAATAATAATAACAAATTTTACTTCATAGTATAATTGTGAATATTAAGTAAGTCAAGATAAGTACAGTGCAGTATCTCACACAGAGACGTTGCTACAAAATAGCTGTGGTAGTATTGTGATTATTGTTCTACCTTGTGCATTTTCACAAAATATGCTTTCTTCATATTCTAAAGAGTGCAATTCAGAACCACATCGCTTATTCTTTTAATGCCTTAGACAGTAATGCCCTATTTTAAAGTGGCTTGCCAAAAAACCATTGACTAGGTCATGAGAGGTGACTGTCTGATACATGTGCCAGCTATACTTCCAAAACATTTTATTTAAAAAATAATCACCCAACTTTTACATAATAATAAAATTATTGGTATCATCTCACAAGTTCTTATTTAGTAGATTGATTTTAGAATTTATGACACTGTGGCTATTCCAGAGCTCTCAATTGTGCTTATTAGGAACCTATACATATATCAAGAGGTAATGGTTTAAACAGAGCAAGAGGTGATGAATGGCTTAAAATCTGATAAGATGCACATGGAGGTTGTTTCCTTTTACCATATGTACTCAGTCTGTGTGCTGAGAAAATAATCTGAATATGAAGAAGAATTTGGCAACAGGTTTGGGGGAATTATCAATAGTAACCTGCAATATGCAGAAGACATGCATTTGCTTGCAAAAAGCAAAGAAGACTTGAAATACTCACTGATGAAGGATGATAAGAGACTACAGGCTTCAGTATGGATTACACCTCAATGTAAAAGAAACAAAAACCTTCACAACTGAACCAATAAATTACATGATTAATGGAGAAAAAGATTGAAGTTGTCAAAAGACTTTAGTGTTTGTATCCACAATCAACACTGATAGAAGAAGCAGTCAAAAAAGTCAATGATGCATTGCATTAGGCAAATCTGATGCAAATGTCCTCTTTAAAGAGTTCAAAATAAAAGATGTTACTTTGGACAATAAGAGACCCCTGACCCAAGCCATAGTATTTTCAATAGCCTCATACGCATGTGCAAACTGGACAATAAATAAGGAAGGCCATAGAAAAATTGATGTATTTCAATTATCTTTTGGGGGAAGACTATTGAAAGCACTACAGACTGCCAGAAGAACAAACCAATCTGCTTTGGAAGAAGTAAAATCAGAATACTCCATGATAGCATGAATGATGTGATTTTGTCCCTTGTACTATGGCCATGACATGAGGAGAAAACAGTTTCCTGAGTATGCTATCATGCTTGGTAAAGTGACGGATGAAAAACAAGGAGGAGGACTCCCAGTGAGATTAATTGACACAGTGATATCAACAACTGTCCAAACATGATAACAATTTTGAGAATGATAAAGGACTAGGCTGTGTTTTGTTCAGTTGTGTATGGTGTTGATATGAGTCAGAAAGAAACTAATAGCACTCAACAACAATGTGTCCCCTAAATTCCTACAATGTTTTCTATTGGATCATGCCCCCACATAAGCACAACTTTAGTAGTCCAATTTTTCATCAATTATTTGCATGAGCTTACAGTCAGACCAGTGGCCACTCACCATCCATGAATTGCTATAATCGAACATCAACTTTCACCATTTTTGAATATTTCCTTCACAACTAAGAAGACAACATGCAGTTAAGCCCACTGAGGTGACCTATTCTTACCTTCTTTAATAAGGGTCTTTCCATCTGCTAGTCTTAATGTAGCAGCTTTTCAAACATAATACTACACTTGTGCCCTAGAATTGCTATTGATGTATCAGGAAGCCTTTAGTAGAAAGTTGTCCCTAATGCACTTCCCATGTGGCAGTGGGCTATGGTGGGCTGTGTCAGCTACTCTAGTGTCTCCAGGCCAGGCCCTTTGATAACAGATGATATCTACCCATGAAAATTTCCAAAATTATCTATGAGTATGAATCACAAGAGCTTTAATGAAATGACAGTAATACTGCTTTCTGTAATTCAGAAATAGTCTGCTGTTGTTTGAAACTCTATTTTAACAGTTTTCTTCATAGTGATTTTATGAATGAGAACTGTTAATATTACCAGATTTGCAATAAAAGTTCTCCACAATCCAAAGAAACCAAGCAAAGCTCAGGGGGTCGGCATAGTTTTGGGGTAAGCAATAACATCACTTATCTCACATGCCAAATCCTCCATCATTGGATGTATCACTCTTATTTTCCATGAGTAGTTTTTGCCTAGACTAACTGATTGTAACATAACAGAAGATTCAATGTTATCCCATCTGAATGCCAAAGATTTCTCTTTCTCCTGTCTATTCTTTTATTCCCCCTCCCCCCCTCCAAAAAAAAAAAAAAAAAACACATATCTTCTTGTGAGTCTGGGTAATTGCAGAACATTTCACCTTTCTTATATCAATTGTACAAATAATTTTAGGGGATCAGAACAAGATTTGTGTCTATGAGAGGGAGGTTAAAGATTTCCCAAATGTCCTGTTTTTCCAAACTACTGAACCACTCCATCATCTCTAACATCAACTATTCCTTCCTTCAGAATCACCCTTTTGTCTTTGTTGTTGTTGTTGTTAAGTGCCCTCGAGTTGATTCCGACCCATAGCAACCCTGTATAGGGTTTGCAAGAAGCAGCTGGTGAGCTTGCACCACCGATCTTGTAGTTCAAATGACTGCAGTCTGAAGCATTAGCCCACAGTGCCACATCAAGACTTGGGAAATGTAAATCCCTACAGTGTCTGTCAGAACTCATGAACTTCCAAAAAAATGATTCACATGGTTGTGAAGGCTTTGAAGTCCCACATACATTAATCAGGTTATCAATCTGGAGGTTTCTCTTCACTCAGGGTTGATGAGCTCAAACTGGCAAATCAGATGATAGAATGCTAGTTCACAAGACTGTAGAAGCTGGCAAATCAGGTCAGATGATAACCAATTGGCTCAAATCCCAACAACTGTAGATCAGAAAATAATTGTCAGTTGTTGGATCCAAAGCAAGAGAGAAAAAGTAGTCAGAACATTCACACATAATGGATTATCTTTAAGAATATCTGATCATATACTGCATAGGAGATATATAGTACTGGTCAGAAGCACTTTAAAATTATTAACTTTCAAGATTTAGGCAGAAGTCTCTTAGAATCCTCCCAACTTAATAGCCTAACCACCACCACCCTGTTTGCTTCAGCAGTGTAGTAGATACACAATGGACTCCTAATTTAATTAAGGTGAAAATAATTCCAGAAAAAGATTTTATTAATAATATATTCTGCTCATTTCTTTGTGTGATTTTAATTGTTTGTTTGTTTCTTAATCTTTTTCTTTTCTTTTTTTCTTCAACAATCAGGAGTTACATTTCCCTGCCAAATGGAAAATCTCACAGGAGTAACAGAATTCCTGCTTTCAGGGTTTTCTGATACCTGGGAACTCCAGATATTGCATGGTGTGCTCTTTCTGTTGATGTACCTGTCAGCACTGGTGGGGAACCTTCTCATCATTATGGTTATTACTCTCAATCATTGTCTTCATACACCCATGTATTTCTTCTTAAAAAATCTCTCCTTTTTAGATTTGTGCTATGTATCAGTCACCATGCCTAAATCCATCCACAGCTCCTTGACACACAACAACTTCATCTCTTATCTTGGCTGTATGGCTCAAGTCTATTTTTTCTTTGCTTTTGCATCTGCTGAGTTAGCCTTTCTCACAGTCATGTCCTATGACCGTTATGCTGCAATTTGCCATCCCCTCCATTATGGGGCAAAAATGACTTCAGGAAGATGCCACCAGATAGCAGCCATGGCCTGGCTAATTTGTTTTTTCTATGCTGCAGTCCACACTAGCAACATGTTTTGGGAGCCCATTTCAAGATCCAACAGAATCCACCAATTCTTCTGTGATATACCTCATGTGCTGGCTATAGTTTCTTGTGAGGTTTTCTTTGTTGAGTTTGTGACCCTGGCTCTGAGTTCATGTTTGGTCATGGGATGCTTTGTTTTTATGATCATCTCATATTACCAGATCTTCTCTACAGTGTTCAGGATCCCTTCAGTAGAGAGTAGAGCAAAAGCCTTTTCCACCTGCTCCCCACAGCTGATTGTCACTGTGCTCTTCCTCACAACAGGGCTCTTTGCTGCCTTGGGACCAATTACCAAGACTTCATCTATCCAAGATTTGGTGATTGCTATGGCATACACAATTTTCCCCCCCTTCCTAAATCCCATTATATACAGTCTTAGAAATAAAGAGATTAAAACATCTATGTGGAGACTATTTGGAAAAATGTATCTTCTGAAAAATTAGAAATGTCTGTGCTTTATCAATAAAAGATCTGTACCAAAATATCTTTCCTAATTAATAGACTGTTTTTTGAAGTTTTTTGCTTTTTATTCGTTACAACCAAAGGTTCTAAACCTCTAACTTCTTCTTGGAAACCTGATACATGAATCAGAACCAACTAGATGGCACTTAACAATAACAACAAGTGTGTTTGATAGTGAACATTCATAAGTGATGCCACAGGATATTTATAATGTGGTTGATGGAAATTTCCGTTTTCATTAATAATCACTTTATTTGCTTTTTCTAAACTCATAATATATACAATTTAAAATCTGTGTTTTCATAGAAAATAATGTATTTTCCCCTGATTTCTAAAATAGTGTTTGAAGTTTTTGCCACAAATTTTCATCTAATACTTTAAAATTGTATGTTCTTACATGCAGTACTTCGGTGATCAGATTTTCTAAACCATTTGGCAATTTATTGATATTTTCACAGAAATATATTTAAACTTCTTGTATATATATAAATGTTTTATTGTGAATTGTATGATAGTCTACATGGGAGAATATCAGCTTTATATTCATTCCATCATCCATCATTTCGTTGGCATAATTATCATCCTGTCCATGCATCCTCACCCAACCAAAGGGTGTACCCTGTAAACCTGCACCCCCCACCCAACCACAGTCCTCAGCCCCTTTCCATATCCTGATCCCAAACCCCCAGCCCCACCATCTCTTGACGTTGTCTTCTCTGCCTCCAAACCAGGCCTCACTGCCTCTCTGGGTAGGATTCCGCTCTTCGCTCTTCTCCATTGATGGTCCCAGGATCCTCCACTCCTAGACTGATAAATTAATCTTTGTTACAAAATGTCCATCTTTAGCTTTCCAACCCTCACAATCAGTCCTGATAACAATTATTCACCATTGCATCACAAGAAACCCATCTATATTTCATTTCATCAGCCCTTCCTGGACAGGCTGGACATCATCCACTGGAGACTCTATCTTCCTTCATGCTCTCTGGATCTAGGTTCCCTCTTGAAAGCTTGTAAGCCAGTCACTTCTTGCCTTTGTATCCCTCCCCCCATTTGGGTAGCCAATGTCCAATTTGCCCATTCCTGTCTACCCTTTGTGTGGAGGGGGTAAAACTTCTTGTATATTTTTAATACATACTCAATTAAAATTTTCTCTTTTTGATATACAGTTCTATGAGGTTTTACAAAGTAATGGAATAATTCAATCTCTTTCACAATTGAGATACACAATTGCTGTCATTCCTCCAACAATTCATTCTATGCACATTTGCCATCAGTATCTTCCCTGACTAGAATTTCTGTAATCTTTTTTTTTTTCACCTGTTTTCTTTCTTTATAATTTGCCATTTCCAGACTGTTATTTAAATATATTCATATAATATATCATCTCTTGGAGCTAATTCCTTTCACTGAACAATATGTGCTTGACAGTTATGCATGTTGATGTGTATGTTAATAGTCTGTTACTTCTTATTACTGTGTTTTCTATGGCAATTGTTTAGAGAAGGCTCACTTCAATGAAACAAAGGTGTGAGGTGATCAAGTTAGACTCTACAAATAAATTGTCTTCGTGGGTAATTTAGAGACATTTATGTGAAAATTGAAAAGTCTGAAATTAATTTCCAAAGTGCTAACTAAATTAACATGAAAATTTTACTTTAAGTAATGTATATGGAAGGATTATGACATGATTAAATGCTGATTAGGTGTTAAGATTGACAAAATACCTTACCGCAAAATTGAACTTGGATCTTGGAAAATGTACCATGAATTGTTTGTTTTAGAATTATTAATAGACTGTATTTTAGAAAAACTTTAGGTGTACAAAAAATGATCAGATCGTACAGTCTCCATTTCACCCCTTTCCTCCTCATTAGCAACCTCCCTATTATTAACATCTTGTATTAGAACAATATATGTTATAATTGATATATTTTTAACCAAAGTCATTCTGAAGTCAGGATTAAACATTTGCTCAGTTCTCTGTGCTTTGACAAATGCATAAAATAATGAATTCAACATTACAATATCATAGAGAATAGTTTCTCTGTCCTAAAATTTTCCTGTGCTCACCTAATGCACCACTTCTTACCTCCTGAACTTCTGGCAATCATCAGGCTTTTTTCGTTCCCTATATAGTTTTAATTTCTTCCATATTGTCATCTAGTAGGAATCATGCAGCATACAGTCTTTCAAATTTATTTTTGTAGTTAGCATTTTCTTTTGCGGCTTCATGCCACTATCTTTTTTTCGTCAATGAATAGTATTGCATTGTATACATGTACCAGTTTGCTTAACCATTGCTTTTGGGATCAAAACAAAACAAAAACAACAACATTGTGGGTTCTTCCATTTGGGGCATCTATGAATAAAAACTGAAATAAATTTCTGTTGCAAACTTTTGTGTGGATATGTGTTTTTAAATCACTTGATAAACTTTCAAACCTTTTTCAAGAGCAATAAATAGATTATTTACATTCACCTACAATTAATGAAATCTTTGTTCTCCATTCTAAACATGTTGGTGTTGTCAGTGATTTCAGTTTTAGACATTATATGAATTGTATAAACTATCTCATTGTTTACTTACAATTCCCTGTGGTAAGAATATTTTTATAAGTGCATATTCCCTCTGTATATTTTCTTGATTTAAGTGTTTTTCCAGATCTTTTGCACATTTTTAAGTTGGACTATTTGTTTCTGTTTTTGTTGAATTTTAAGATTTTTTTTTGT